TTTCGTGATAACTTTATTCCAATGCCGCAAGGGCGCCAATACCGACTCTTATACTTTTCTAAAGCACTTTGCAGCGCACCTCCTGATACTTATAGTAAAGAGGTATGGGGTTCGTCCACATATATCCTCCCCTTCCCGAATTCCCCGAGCAGTTGCCACTAAAACCGGATTCCCCGAATTTTCACCTTTATCTGAAGTCAAAAAATCAACTATCCACATTTTTTTTCCGGCGCACACGAATAATTTTAGGTGGGGGGGGGGGGGGGGAGCGAGAGAGGACGACAAGGATGGGATCGATTCCTCCTTTCTCCTCACCCGAGTCCTTGCAATGACTTGTACAAAGCAGTAGCAACTCAGCAAGAATAACGCATCACCCGTGTCGAACACGCGCTTTCAAATTTCGCTCGCCTGTTTTCCGCTAGAGCCGTTCCTCTCCTACAGTTCTCGTAGCTTTACATAGCTGGCGCTACGAGCCTCGCTTTCTTAGGGTGCCTGAATGGTTTCCCTCGCCCGCCGCTCCGGGCGAGGGAAACCATTCAGGCACCCTACGCTTTCTGAACACATTTGGTATGACTCGAGCATCCAGCCCTGCCTGCGCTGCATAACAGCCACGAGGCAGCTTTCGATCAGCCACATAGGCACTGCGCCGTGCTCCCGACCGGGCTGCAGAAATTAGGTGCCTTTCTCCTCTTCTAACCACTACCACCACCGTTCAGTCACAAAAAGTTTGCCCAAAGCACCAGCGAGCGATGTCGCTGTTCGACGCCATACTGAGCGTCCTTTTCTTTGAAGCAACGGCGTTGAGACTGCACGTCACAGCTGGAGCAGGTAGGCCCTATCGAATTTGAACTCGAGTTCGAGCAGCTCCTATATATTCTTAATCTTTGATCTACGGCGCGCATCACCAACATCACCTGCAGCTGCTCCCCGAGTACACCCGTTCGCATTCCCGAAGGATCACCAAAGGGGACGGACCGTAGTGGTAACATGCATCGTCGACCACGGCACTCCTCCGTTCAGCTTCGCCTGGTCGAAAGACGGGCGTCCACTGCCACAAGCGGGACGGACCAAGAAGCCCGTGTCGAAGATGATCACGGAGTCCGTATCCGTCTTGACGGTGCCGAACGTCGACGCCGGAGACGTCGGCAACTACACGTGCAGCGCCGGCAACGCCGCCGGCAGCGACAGCTTCACGGCCGAGCTCGTTGTCTCCGGTGGGTGTTGTTGATGTCTCACATACTAATCAGCGCTCTGTTTATTCGCCGAATGGGCTATAACACGTCTGTGTATTTGCGAAATCAGAGCACTCCGCCTACTAAGGAAGAAGCTCCAGTCGAAGGGGGAATCCGCTGCGTTTCCAGTCAATGAAGAGGTTTATCATTATAGTGCCGGGACCCCAAAGCGGCCCGCGTATACGTGACGTCTTGCATTCCTTTGTAATTTCCATGGGTGCATGCAGCTAGGAGTACAAAGAAACGCAAGAACGTGCCCACGCAAGTGGCTCAGGATTCGTGGCACCAACTCTCCGATAACATTCAATAGTACCACGCTGGTACGCATACAGATGGTTTTTGAAGAGCTTATTTACACCCTCATCGCAATCAGCGCGCAAAAACACAAAAACATAAGAAAGTGCACGACAAAAGCGCGACACTAGTTGTTAGTCAGCGCCCATATCGCGCACTTTCTTGTGCTTTTTGTGCTTTTTTTTTGTGCGCTGATCGTGATGAGTATATTTTAACTATCCCAATTTGCTGCTTTGCTACTTTAGCTTCTTTACACTTACGAATGATGATTGCGGAGATGTGCGAAATAGTTATGACGTTTTTTATGTAATCAAATTCATCCGCTACTTAAATTTTCATTGTACCCTGCGCAAAACAATGTATCTGAGAACACCGAGATCGCCGAATGGTCTCATCAAGGTGACAAGATTTTATTTTTTTTTCCAACTTTCTTTCTTGTTTTTTCTTTAACATTACGTTGTGGATGATTCATTCCTTTCGTCAAGCGCGCAAATTCGCACGAGCCATGCCACTCGCAGACGCCTCGCGAAGCGGCCCACATACCTCCGATATCAAAAGCCGCGCAAGCTAGGATAGTTCCAACATCCTACTCCACGTGGCGCTAGTTGTCCACTCCCGCAAGATGCACAGATTTTCACTATAAAAGGGGCGTTCTGCTTTGGATCTCCGCGCGAACCGCACGAGTTTTCGAGGAGCAGCACGACCGGCGACATGTCTCTCCTTCCCGCTTTGCCGTGGATATTCGGCTTTCTACTGGGCACAATTAACATCACCCATGCCACGGCTCAAGGTATAACCTTTCCTCGTTGAAGGCTCGAATTCCGATATTTCTTGACGACGTAATCATCCCCCGTTGGCATTGATACACAGAGGCCCCCAGACTTCAGCCATTTTACTTCCCCAAGGAGCACCCGCTGCTCGAGACCCTCGTGGTGTCCTGCATCGCGATACGGGGCACGCAGCCGGTGCACTTCGCCTGGCTCAAAGACGGCCGCCCCGTGGAACACGGCGGAGGCCGAGCAGTGGCCCAGCAGTTGTCGGCAACGCTGTCGACGCTCACGATCCCGCAAGTGACGGCGCAAGACGTTGGAAACTACACGTGTCGCGCTTCCAACGCAGTCGGTAGCGACAGCTACAGCGCTGAGCTGCTTGTCACAGGTCAGTGATGTACCGTTCACCTGCGGGGCTCTTATATAACGCTGGTCGCAATCAAACCACTGCATGTTACATCGCATGTCACTGAAAGAACAATATTGGCAGTTTGGCGTCCATATGTCATACTGAGGGTGGGGGGAGAGGGCATGCGTTGACGTAGTCCACACATGTACTTTGAATGACGTTGACGCTTATAAAGTGGAGATATTGTGGACGAGTTCTTTTATTGCACACTTTTAGGGTTAGGGACATCGTCAACCAACGAGTACTTTCAAAACGTACGTTCCGCAAAATGTATCGTCAGGTATCTTCCGGTAGGTAAGTGAGGAAGAGCTGACGAAATGCGCATTAAGCGCTATTGATTGAACTAGCTTCGTCCGTGCTAATATGTACGCGTGTACGTTTGTGTTTTATTTTCATGGCCACCTGTCGTGGCTACTCCCAAATAGTATTTGTGTTGTTCATTTTGCAGCCAATTCAAAGGTATGCACGTAAACGTCGTCATAAGCTTTTCTTATATTGACAACGCAAAAATTAATGATTTCAACAACGGTGAGCGAAAACAAATGAAGGACAAACAAAGATGTTCGATGAAGCCGATAGGAGTTCTCACTTCTATAGTTTATTTTTTTTTTTGTAACAAGCTGAAATGTTGTAACTCTCAACCCTCTATAGCAAATTAGTTATGAAAGTTCCCCCACGTGCAGTGTCTTCTTCGAATTATTCAAACCTACGCGCACTGCCCGCTCAACTTCGACGCTCCCCGCAACGCGGCGCTAGTTGTCCGGACTCTTCAAGTGGTGTTCCGACCAAAGAAAATCGCGGTACCAACACTTCGCACAGCGAGCGGGGTCACCTGCAAGAGTGCCGCACCACCATTTTCCCGCGGCTTGCGAGTGGCGACTCCTCACTAAAGCATGACTTTGAAAGGAGGGCTGCGGGTGAGGACATGGATCCTACTTCTCGGACTGCTTGAAGACGTTCACGCGGCGACCCCAGATAAACTGGTTGAGCACCGCTACGGATCAAGGCGCTTGCTTGCTGAAGGATTTAGGAACCTAATGCCATTTTCTTGGCGCCGCAGACGAGCCGCGCATCTGGCTTTCCCGCCGAGCGTCGCTGTCGGACAGGAAGTGAGCGTCACGTGTGTCGCTGCGCTGGGGAGGAAGCCCTTTCGGTTCGCCTGGACGCGGGACGGCCAGTTCCTCGCGAACACAGAGAGGAAGTACTCTCGGACTGTGCTCGACAACGTGGTCATGCTCACCATTCAGCGGGTGACCGCCGATGACGTCGGCAATTACACCTGCACCGTCAGCAACGGATTCGGCAGCGACAGCGCCACGGCGCCGTTGATAGTGGAAGGTAGGCTCATTTGTTTGTGGCAGTCAGCAATCATAATGGTTAGCAAGGGTTAGCCCGGTCTAGTTACCCTGCACTGAGAAAAGAGGACGGAAATGTGACAATGCGGGGTGCAGCAAAAACAAAAAAACGTTCACACACAACACACAACACACACACACACACACACACACACACACCACACACACACACACACACACACACCACACACACACAATGAAGCGTTTTGTCACGAGAACAGGTTCAACAGCACTCGCAGAAACTAAGCAAGGTCGAACGTCTTAGGGACACTCACAGTGACCATTCGCATAACCTGTACTCATTGAGTCACATGACCGCAATATCGAAAGTTCTGCTCCCTCGACTCAGCGTCATAACAAAGTTCTTAATTCGGAAATTATATACAACTAAGAGGCTAGCAACGACACCACTTGTTTTCTTTACCTTTTTTTTTTCAATTTGACGCACAATGCATTCTCGTGATGTTTTTTTTATAGTTTTAAATGGCATTTCTATCGGCATGGTAACTCTCTATGGCCCGATGAAGTTCGAGGAAATACATTCAAAATGCCGACTCCGCACTGCAGTTGTGCTGCTGCATGCTGCGCGCAGTATTCAGTAGAGGAAAGCATGGCTTTAATTTGGTCGCTGGTACGCATATTCCGTTTTAATTTCTTTCTCGTTTTCTTTTTTCGGTTGCAAAAAAAGTAATGATGATGTTCTTTCGATGAAATGATTCGAACACACTTCCAAATCAATTTGTCTAAGTATTAACTTTATTGTTTTATTTTTTTCTCTCTACTGCTCTTGCGCGGGAGATTGATTGGTTCAACCACCAATCAAGCGGACGCTGCCGTGAATTAACGTGCCCGTTATCAGGTGACGCGCAGTATGTTTTGAACCGGCAGCCTCACCTCGGACTGCCCGAGCACACAAAAACGATTATAAAGATTCGCTTACCTCAGTACACTTGCCGAAAATGTGGACTTTTGTAGGTGTCCTCGGTCGTCACTGTAACACAAAATTTTCCTGTTAGATTACCAGTCGTGATTATTTTAAAGATTGCGTAAACACTGAGCAGCTTATAGCTTCTACATTTTACGCTCCTAAAGAAAGCAAGCAATTTTGCGTCACACTATGCGAATTACATATCTAGTGAGTAGTATAAACCTTCCTGCCCATAACTGGTCACTCAGTCATCATTCTTCGATGTCATCAGTCACCGCATCAACAATGTGCATATAATGCCTTGCAGACATGATAAGATGCTCTCGCCTAGTTAACTATTTATTGTCTCTCTCTTTTCGTGACCGCAATTCAGGCCTCATCAGGAAGTACGCCTTGCTTTGCTTGCTTTGCGCCTCATCTCGTTATGTATCTTTTATATCCATACACGTCCGAATAAAGGAAACCTAAATTAAATACATCCAATTAGACTTCCTCTTTTTCAAGGCTTGACCTCATTACACGAATACGCAAAGCTGTTTAACAACCACGATGATGTACATGCGTGTAAAATCATGTTTAAACTCCCCGGCAAGCCCCGAAAACAAACATCTTCGTGAACCGCTATAAACAATGAGAAAAATAATTGGAAAGGCTGGAAAAATGAATTTTTTTTTTTCAGTCTAAGCGACCAACACCACGTGGCGTTAGTCGTTCGTGAAATCACATTGCTTTCAGAGCTTTATAAAGCGCTTTAAAAAACTGAGAGAAGTGATTGCACAGGCATCCTCTGCAGTGCAAGCGATCCACGCGCCGCTGGCGCTAGTTGTCCATGAAATCGCACTGCTTTCCGATCGAGGGACCTGGAGGCAAAGACGCCGTCGCACTGAGCACTGAGATAAAGTCTACGCACGAGGATTCGAAGCATTGGCGTTCACGATGAAAGAGCTTGCTTCCAGTTCGGTCAGCTTTCTCGCTGTGTGCTCGCGAGTGGCAGATTTGCGGTTCTCGCCCAAAATCTCGCCGACGCTCGGGACCTCCCATTCGGCCTCTACACGAAGAGAGTCTTAAGAGATGTGCCGACCATCTCGAGGCATTCGTCGTTGCCGCCGGAGATACAGCCGTTCGCGTTCTCGAGGAACACGGCCCTGGGTCAGAGGGCCTGCGTGGTGATCGGAGGCGTGGCACCTTTTTCACTTCGCCTGGACCCACAACAACCGCCCGGTGAGAGGTGGCGGCAACAGCGCAACTACTGAGTACGTCAAGCAGGACACCGCGAACATCGCCACTCTGACGCTGGAGAAGGCTTCGGCCGAGGACATCGGCAACTACACGTGCGCGGTCACCAGCGCCCACGGCACCGACAGCTACACCGCGACGCTCGTCGTCCGAGGTGGGGAAGGTGCAGCGTCGAGTTTGGTCAACGAACCACTTACAGGGAGATTCCTGATTGACTCTCCTGGATGTTGTTGTCCATTACTGCTGTATACTTGTGAGTGTGTTCTCAGTCGCTTTTTTTTTCCCTGGCGTATTAATTTCCGCTCCGTATGCACAACGCAAGACACAAAATTGTTCGATGGTTTTGGTCTTGATGAACGTAAGTGCATAAAGATTAGGACACATTGAAGCCTCATCGCTACTAGCACAACTGTTTGCAGAGGCTGATTTCTGTAGTTTCGACGTCCCTGGTCGCATGTTTCGTGACATTATTTGTATAGAAAATCACTATTACTGTCAAGAAGTAAACTAAATACTGAATTCTATTTAACCACAATTTCACTTGATCAAACGGAATTCCATTTGCTAGCACACAAAGCTATGCACAAATACACTGTGCATCACGCGCCAACGTTACTTGTGTACAGTGTAATTTCGTTGATGCAATATTCGCGGAAAGCGGCAAGTATCTATAACTAGCATCATCCCGCCAACAAGCGCGAAAAGGCGTGGAAATAGGCTTATTCTGCGACAAACTGGATATCAAACTTTCGCGTGGACACTACACGTTAGGTGGAGGAGCATTACCCGTTTGCTGTAATCCACAGTTATTCGTAAACGTCCGAAATCATTCGGCAGCTCTCTTCCAACTTCCTTCTTTTCAACATTTGTGAAATGTTGGAAATTCCTTCTTCGTAGGTTGTAGGAATCTTATTCAACCGTACCTGCGCCGTCTTCTCCATTATTGGTTGGGGAGAACTTTCAGCACAGGCCTCCACCCCCGTTTTTTTTTTTTTTACTCTTACCCGCCATAGCTTTTACGATCAGTATGAAGAAAGAAAAGGTATTAGGAGTGGCAAGGGGGGGCGGGGGTGGAACCCCTCTTGGGCACTACTTGTTCAAGAGTTCAAGCATATGATCAAAGTTCAGTTGAATACGCGATCGCGTTGACGGTACGGAAAGGCATTTTTACTGTTGGACACTTGCCGTGAAATGACAAAAAAAATCGCATTATCACAAAAAAAAACGTGTAATGCAAATTTGCGTCCCCCAACCAAATGTAACTGCTAAATTAACCGGTGAGCAAGCGCGGCGCATTCAAACCATCGCGCGCAGGAAAACCGCGATGAAAGGCACAGATGAAAGACGTAGTTCTCGGTATCCCCTCAGAGCGGCGCTAGTCGTCTAAGTTCGCAACTTTCAGTCGCCACCGTGACGTCACCAGCCGCGCATCAGTTAGCGCTCTGCTTCTATTCAGACTAGTGCGGCGACGTCGTTTGGTGACATGGAGGTCCAGCTAGCTTCTCTTTTTATCTTAGGTGTGCTAACCCTCATAGCTCCTTGCTACAGCGTCGATACCGGTGAGTGATTCTATGCAAGTGTACCACCTAAAAGACTCCTTCGCTACGCAATGGTCAGTGCGTGTTATTGAACGGCAGTCATTTATTCCTCTAGGCCTTCCAGCGATCATGCCGTTCTCGTTTCCGGAGAATGTCCGGCTAGGTCAGAAGATTACGGTCATGTGCGTCGTTTCGAGTGGCGCCGGACCTTTCCAATACGCTTGGACGCACGGTGGTACCGCGCTGACCGGTAGTTCTAGAAAGCACGTCAAAGTTCTCGCCGAGAACGTCGAAGCCTTGACCATCGAAGCCGTCGGCGCTGAAGATTTCGGAAACTACACGTGCACGGTGTCCAACTCCGTTGGAAGCGCCACCTATGCAGCCGCTCTCTACGTTGAGGGTAAGAGCACGACCCAACTCTGGGCGTCAATACAACGCACGGCGGCGTCTACAACACACAAAGTGTATAGAGGAACACGTTCTCGTGTTCTCGCGGTGCGCATATTTACCTTCATCGTGACCCGCACGTGTCCACTCTAAATGTGGAAGTATTTGCAAACAGCCTTCGGAAAAACTTGTTTTGTACAAACGTAATCTGATATTGGCGAAGCAAAGCCTCCCGATTTCCAGTACTTCCTCATTTGAGCATTTCAGACTTATTCTCATGTTGTATTTCGACATCGGGACAGTGTTCCTGATACTACGCCGGTGATACTATAGATAAGCGATGAGAAACGTGATCTTCGAAAAACGCCATTAAGTCATTAACGAAATAAGTTTCCGCTAAATATTTATTTTCTTCAGCGCTACGGACGTTCCAGGATTTTTCAGCAGTTCAAATTACTGCCGCCATTTTCACAACGGTACAGGCCTTCCTTAGTTCTTTTTCTCCCCGTCGCGTGGCGCTACTTGTCCACTGGAAGGCACGCTGCTGGCGAAGTATAAAAGCGCGCTTTCCTCTGTAAATGTTCCCAGAACGCTTAGACACCACGCCGGACAAGTAAACCCACGCAGCCGTAACGATCTTGCGCCTTTTGTAGCAGCAGTTATAGTTAACTAAATACAACGAATCATTATGCGCTCAAGTCGGCTTTGTAGTACCGTCGTCCTGCAGTTCTTCGCAGCTGCTGCGGTATTGGCTGAGAACGCCCAAGGGAGCAAATGTAAGTCGTTTACCTGTAATGACCTACGACCCGTTACTTCAAACGATTCATCCCTAATTACCAATCGCCTTTTTGTTCGCCTACTTGAACTCCTCAGCGCCACCGGTCGTCATGCCAATCTCTTTCGCAAAGGACGTCTCTCTGGGGGACAGGATCGCGCTGACCTGCGCCGTGACTCGAGGCACGGGGCCGTTCGACATTCGCTGGACTCACGATGGCAAGCCCATCGGCGGCGCGAAAAAGACCAAGTACGCGACAGCCGTGACGGAGAGCATAACCACCATGACCATCGAGAAAGTGGAGCCCCGTGACGTGGGAAACTACACGTGCACCGTAACCAATGACTTCGGCAGGGACGCCGTGACGGCGACGCTGCTCGTCGAAGGTGAGCCGCTCGAAACGAGAGAGAACGCTCAAGTGGCTTATGCGTAATAACGGTAAACCTGTCATAGTATCTGATAGAGTGGGAGGTTTACACCGATAACGCACAGTTTGCGTGATACTATTACTCGAACATCCGCCACACAAGGTTCTGCTGATTGTAGCACATTTCTCATGTTGTTAACTTACTTCGTCTTTCTATGAAAGACTTGCGTGCCATGTTGACTCCACCCAGATAACTTTTCTTGGAATAAGACCATATTTAGAAGCGTACATTCGTTGAGTAGGCTCGATTTTGACGGCTAAAAATAATAGAAACATCGTTCTGGAGGCCATGAGGTTGATTCGGTTGCTTAATTTTATTGATATGTGGTTTTTAAACGTACCGAAACCACCATGTGATTATGAGACACGCCGTAGTGCAGGGCTCCGGAAATTTCGACCACCTGGGGTTCTTTAACGTGCACCCAAATCTGAGCACACGGACCCACAGCGTTTCCGCCTCCATCGAAAATGCAGGCGCCGCAGCCGGGATTCGATCCCGCGACCTGCGGATCAGCAGCCGAGTACCTTAGCTACTAGACCACCGCGGCGGGGCTGCTTAATTTTATTGCACACTGCGCCAAAGCTCGTGGGAAGTCTGTCTTCATGGCGCACTTCGGCACACGCTAATTAATGTCCGAAGAGTTTCGAGTGGACAAGCATCATTCATGCAGCAATACTGAAACCGACATGAGGACTAGCA